GAACCCTGGTACTAGAGCAGGGCGTCCTCTGCCATAGCCCCTCTGTGTGACTCTGGACATGCCAGGCCTGGGTTTCCCTCCCAGGACTGCAACACCTTCCAAAGCAAGACCACACCAATTTAGGCCAGCTCTCCAAGGCCCAATTCATGCAGGAAGGGGTTAGGGGTTCAGTCAGTGGCTCTGCCAAGGAAGGAAGAAGGTGCCACAGCATACCCTCGGAAGTAAACTTACCAGCCAAATGCAAAATATAAATGGGGACAGAAACCCTGCTTACATCCAGCTGCTCAGGAACTGTACTTACAAGGCACTTCACTGGGATTTTATTAGATAATCCAAACCTGCTAGTCCACTGGGAGAAATAACTAGTGGAGACAGAGTGGTTCAATGCTTAGGATCAGAGGCACCCATGCCAATAAGGCTAGCTCTGCCTGGTGATGCCTAGTCAGCCCCAACAATGTGAATTCCTGCATCTCACTACCAGAAGAGAAATGCAAGCACAAGCCTGTTCTAAATCACTAACAGAAAGGGCATTTCCAGGAAGTCCAGCACAAACTCTCCAATCTCCACACTTAAAAAGATGAGAGTATCACCTTGCAGTCAAATAATTTTCTCAGCTTCCCCACCCATAAAATGGTGAGAACAGCAGTCCATGGGGGCAGGAGTGGGCACTGTGGGATTCAGATGGGCCATGCATTAAAGGAAAATAGAACCATCAGGGAAGCCGCAAACCCCACACCCCATGATCAGCTAACATCACAGACCTCAGGGCCACTTGCAAACTACCAAATCCAAGAACACCACCAAATGGGTGTCACATGGTAGTCAGCTGTAGAGCTTGGCCTGAAACCTTCACAGCCTCATCAAAAACATTCTGCATCCAGATGGGTATTTGCTCTGACAAGAAGTCCAGTCTACTCCCTAGGAGGCTGGCAGGAAAGGCTTATTTGCAAGGTTGAGTTATGGATATTCCCCACGTGCCACACAAAGGAAACCTAAGTCAGAACCTCCTCCCACCTCCATGCCTCCAAGATGGTGGCAAATCCTGCCATTAAAATCAACGAATAAATACCAACCCAGATTGGTATCACTGAATTCTGGAAAAGAGCCTCCTTTCTCCTTCTGCAGAATCTCCTGGAAGACTTCCAGCCCAAAGTGCTAAGCCATCCTGGAACACAGTGGCCTCAGGATGGCTCTGATTTAAAGGAAAAAATGGGGATGGTGGGTAGCTCAGTGGAAGAGTGCTCATCTAGCATGTGAAAGGCCCAGGGTTCAATTCCTTGCACTACCAAAAAGAAGAAGAAATGTAGGGCCCAAGGGAAAGGGATAGGCCCAACAGCACCTACTCTCCCTGGCATGCTCTAGGCACTGTACCCCAACCCCCAGCCTAACACCAAGCATGGATTCTAGAAGGCTTTCAGTTAGCCTGAGCATCAGTGAACTCCATGGTGCCTTCTGGGAACTTTACAAATGGGTCCCCAGTGGGAAAAGACGCAGAGACAAACAACGTGCATGGTTTGAGATGGCTCCCTGAGCATGAGTCCCAAAAGCAGAGTGGGCCCAGCTGGATTCTGAGTGCTCTGAAGACAAGAACTTCACAGGCATTCTCCTGCTGAGCCTCTACAATGGCTGGGCCTCAGCTGGCAAGGAGACACCTAGTAAACAAGGAGGCTGCACTCTAGGTGGCAAGGCTCCAGCCTGAGCTCAGGGAAGCCCTCCGACAGGCTGTGCCAGTCCCTTCTGCATGCGGAGTCTCATTTTCCCCATCTCTCCACCCCTGGCTGCTAGAAGGATGAGATGCGAGGAGGTACTTAGAAGCAACTCATTAAAAAATCAGCTGTCGTTATAGTAAAGACAGACAATGTTCACCCACACGGTATATCAGAGGGCTTCATGATGCCACGTGCCTCTGTCACAACCTCCTGTAGCTCCACCGGCAGAAAAGAAGCTGATGGAGAGGCACAGAAAACATGAACGAGAGGAACCCAGGCCAGCCAGCATTCCCCAAAGGAGCACCACAGAGACAAAACAAACACAGAAGCTCCCTGAAATTTCCCAATCTGTCCGACCCACAACTTTAGTCCTCTGCTGCTTCTTGGGGGCCTCTTCTAGGCACCTTGAAAAAGCCACAAAGAGAGGGTATCAGGTGGTCCCAGCCTAGGAACTGGGAGGCAGGTGGGAGGGGAAAATGAACTCAACCAGAGCCATGTCCTTGTGTCTCCACAGAGAGGGGAAGACACAGAGGAGGAACAGGAACAAACAGTACCACGGAAAACAAGCTGATTCCAAGGCTCATCTGCTGGCTGGCCAGAGGCCCCATCCTATCAGGCCTCACAGCTGAAAGGGCTGGCCCTTGTACCTGCCTCATGTAGGTGGGGCCCTTCCCAGGACTTGGCTCAACCACCTATTGATGCCACCCACAGGCATTGACCTCTGGGAGAACAGGGCACTACACTTGTGGAGGGCACAACTCAGTCTTGCAAGGAAAGTGTCCCTAGCTAGGGACAAAACAGAAGCAGCTGGACCCTGAGAAGAGAACAAGGGCACCTTCTGTTGGAAGTGCCCAGAAAGAAAGGCTTTGCTCTCTGAGCACATCTCAAGGTCACTAGGTTGGACTCAATGCAGAAGGCACAGGAAAAGAGCAGAAGTATGGAGTCTGCTCCCTCTGGCACCCATTTCCACATCTGTAAAACAAGGCTGGACGAGACAACCTCTCCCTGTCTTGATAAGGTTTTTATAAGGCCTGACACTGAACTAAACAACTCATCCCAGTCCAGTCCAGCAATTTCCTCTGGTGAGGGCACTGCCCCCAAACATTCAGAGCAACATCAAGTCGTCTCCAACATCCCTGGACTTTTCAATATAGAATTCATCACCCATCAATACTGATCATCCATCAATACAGAAGGACTGAACCCTCAGAGTCTGAGTGATGAAAACAACCGTCCACACTGTCTCATGGACATTCACACCAAACAAAACAGCATAGGCCCCGGTCACCATCCCAACAGTTGGAAGATTTTGCAGCCAGCATAGAAACGTGGCCACCAGAGGGCACTGCCCTGGAAGTGGAAGAAGAAACAAAAACTCTTTTTGGTGTTTTCTTTTCCTTCTTAAGCTTACCCAACAAAACATCTAAAGCTTCAGTAATGAAAACAGAGTGGGCTTCCTGGGGTTCTAGAATGGCCTAGAGGCCTTTGCCTTCTTTTTGAAGCCAATATTTGGACAAAGGAAGGCAACCAGACCTTGAACTCAACAGCCCTTCTACAAAAATTAACACTCTACTCCCAATTTTCCCCATAACAGTTGCCCCTCTGGGTGCCCTGAGCCCCTACCCCTTCAAAGGCAGGGGGGGGTCCAAAAGAAAGGCAAGCCAGCAGGTCTGGCATGAGGTCCCGGCCCTGAGTCAGCCAGGACTCTTTTACTAGAAGCTGCTAATTACTGAGTAAAACCTACCAACCCAAGGACAAATCTCAAGCTTTGGTTACAGAAAGAGTGACACAACACATATCAGTAAAAAAGGTGCAAAGTGTTAACTGGGATCTCCCAAGTCTTACATGATGACGGCAGGGGGAGCTCCGGTGCCCCACATCACAACTGGACTTCCAGAAAGCCACAGGGGCTTCTCCAAATTTCTTCAGTGTTTAGGGCACCCTTTTCATAAGAGTGTGTATCTGGGGTGCAATACTCCAATGTCCTTTTTCAATGTTCCAGAAGCCCTATATCCCATCGTCAAAGCTCTGGCTCCGAGTTCCTCCTGATTTCCTTATAAACTCCTAGGGCCACTCTGCATGCCTTGCTGGCCATGAAAATCCCAACGAAGCCTGCTTGGGAGAGGCAGCCAACCAGCAGAAAGCGCCTGTGCTACTTGCACTGGATGGAGGTGCAGAAGGCCCTGGGGACAGCAGTGAGGAGCACCCAGGTGCTGCCAGCATGTGCCAATTCAGACGGTGCCTTGCCCTGCACACCAAGGATAAAGAGACCCAACTATTCCATTCTCCAAGATGTCTGGGCACTCAACAGGGTCAAAAATGCAACTAGGGCCCATTTTCAAAAATCAAATCTACCAAATGGAGACACTGCGTAACAAAGGTTTCCACCTGGAGTTTGCAAAAGGCTTGGGAAATCAGAGCCTCTCAGGCTTTCATTGAAAAGGGAATTTAACAGTATTTCAGGGGCAAAGCCACAGTTGTGGAGCAAGACAAGGCACACCTGACCCAAGACTCCATACTTCTGCAATTCACCAAGAATGTAATCTACCGAACGCTGTTTCCACCACTGAGCATGGTGGAAGGGGGGCACCCAGCAGATGGCAGAAGGCCATACATTTACACAGCCCCTTCTTTACACAAGCCACTCCTAAGCCAAGGGACCCAGGAAAGTACCCCACCCCTCTCGCTAGCTGGTCGGTACCCCTTCTCAGACACGTGGCCTAGAATCACCACCCTGGCCAATTTGCAAGGCTGTTGTGAGGCTCTAATGAGACAGCAAATCACCACATACAAGCCAAGTATTGCTGCTCGCTTCAATGGGGCTCAACCGAGTGATATGCAATGACAGCTCCAAGAGCCGAGCACACGCGTGGCACGTAGTAGGTGGCCCATAAACGTTGGTGCCCTTCTCCACTACGGGGAAGGTGACCAAGGAAGACAAACACGTCTGTGCGAAAGTACCCTCAAACCCCCAGCTGACAGCGCGGACCCCCGGATTGCCCAGGACCTCCGCCAGCCTCCAGAAGCGCTCCCCGCGCGGCTGGGGGCTTCGGGGCCAGGCACAGTGCACCTGAGAGCTCCGGTCCGAGCCATCGCCCATACTGGCCACCGCTCCCCTCCGACCTGCCGGCGGCCCCACGGCCACCTGGCTCCGCGCACGCAGCCTCCGCGCTCACCGCTCCTTCCCGTTTTGCCCTCGCCTCCCCAGCGACCGCTGAGGCTGAGCCGGGCTGAGGCTGAGCCGGGCTGAGGCCGGGGGTCCCCGGGCGTCGGAGCCGCGTCCCTCTTTACCTGCACAGCTCGGCGAAGGCCTGGAAATTGAGCTTCTTGATTTTCTTCTCGCTCAGCCAGTAGCCAACTCTCTTCCCTTTGAGAAAGGTCTGCATCTTCCTCCTCGGGCGCGGAGCCTGGGTCCGGAGGAAATCGCCCACAGGCCGAGTCCGGGGCCGGCGCGCGCCGCGAGCGTGCGGGCACCTCCTCCCGGCGGCGGGGACGCGGAACGGGCTCCGGCGCGCAGTCCTGCGGGAGGGGCGCGGGCGGGGAGGGGCGGCCCGCGGAGGAGGGCTCAGCGCGGCGCGCCACTGGCTGGCCCGGCGGGGTGGCCCGCCCGCCTGCGACGCGCCCGCCCGCCCCCGCCACCCGCGGGGCTCGCCGCCCGCCGCCTGCCCGCGGGCTGCGCCGGGCCCGGCCGCCGAGAGGGGGAGGCCGGGCCTCGGCGACGCCGCCCCCGCCCGGCCCGCGCGCCTCCCTCCCGCCGCGCAGGCCCGAGCAACACGCCCTCCCGCGGCGGCGGCGGCGGGGGCTGCGCGCCGCCCGAGCCGGGCCTCCCCGCCGCTCGAGCTAGACCCGGCGGGGCGCACGCGGCCGCCCCCGCCCGCCAGCGGTCCTCACCCGCGGCCGCCGCGTCCTCGCGCTCAGCCCGCCGAGAAGCCGGCGGCGACGCCCGCGCTGCCCGGCCGGCTGCCGCGGGAGGCCGCCGGGCAGCGCGCGGAGGAAGCGCGGGCGACCGCCAGGGGGCAGCGCCGCCGCCTCTTAAAGGCGCAGCGCCGGCCCTGGTAGCTGTTGGGCGCCTGTGTGTGTGTCTCGGTGGAGGCGAGGACGGCTTTTAGGTTGGCCCTGGCCGAGTGCTCTGACACGTTAAGTGGGCGAGGGGAGGGAATCGTGGCGTGGGCACTTTGTGCCTGTCCTTTGGGGGTGGCCAAGCCGCTGAGCTTCGTTCCTCGCCCGCATCCCTTGAGCGGTTGTCAGCCCCCCAAGGCGATTCGGTGCAACTGCAGCGGGGAGCAGGAACGTGGAATGAGATCTTCTCCCATCCCAGAGGAGGCTAACGGGGCCGGCTTAGCACGTTGACCACCACCCCACACCCGGGTCCCTCTGGACGGTCGGAGGAAAGCGCCAAGGATGAGCCGGAACATCCCGCTTCCCCCCCTCCCCCCGCAGGCCCTTCCCTCGACAGGGGGCGGGGGGCGGGTCGAGGTCCGAGTCTGGATTCGCTGACCCCCACCTGCCCTCCCAGGCCCTGTGGGCACTACCCAGCGTCCCTGCCCGCAGAGACCTCCCTGTGTGGGGAGGAGAAATGGACACCTCTCAGGCAGGAAAACTGGGTTCCTGTGCAGAGCTCAGGAAACTCTCTTGAGGAGACATTTGAACTGGTCTTGGGAAATAAGGAAGATTATTCCCGCCTGAGAACAAGAGAGGCTTGGCTTGAGGAGGGAGAAAGGAAAGAGCCAAGTTGTAAGGGACTGGACTAAACTCGAGCCAGGCTCCTCTGAGTTCCTCTTTCTGCCTAGGCCCTGACCTTGACCTCTGTCCTTGGGCCCCCTAGTCGTTTTTTGTTTTGTTTTCCAGCAGAAGTCCTGCTGAGTCAGGAAAATCCCCCACCTTTGGTATCAGATCACCCTTGCCTGCCTGCAGTAAGAATCCTGTCAAGTCAATTTAGCCAGAATCCCCAGAGCCTTGAGGTCTCAGCTTAGTAATTTTCCACAAACCGACCCCCTACAATGTTCCTGGACTATAAATTCCCACTTTTCCTGTTGCCATCCGAGTGGCACTGTCTCTCCCCTAATGTAACACACACACACCCCCATTGGAGTAGTGGGCTTCTTAAAGTCTTCCTTGCTGTCTGTAACAAATGCCTTTATTTTTTCTTTAACAGGGGAGGTAAAGAATGGGAGTGGGAAGTAGACAGTCAAGGGTGGGAGTCGGGACTCCGTCTTGGATGGGGGATCTGAGATCCCAGGGGCTCTGTGGTCTGCAAAGCCACATAGCCAGTGAGGAGGGGCTTTGCACCCTAGGCCACCTAGAAAGGAAGGGGCGCTAGCATCAAGGGTCAGTGCTGCACCTTAGAGAGGCTGCTCCCCAGAGCTCATGGCAAGGACACCCCCTGGCTGAAGCAAGAAATGGAAAGAGGAAGACTGAAGGTACAAGAAAGGGGCCCACAATCACTGTTTGACTGTCAAATCAATAGTAGAAGATCCCTTAACACAGGCAAAGGCTGAAAGTGCTCTGTGTTCCTAGGAGCAGAGAGAGCAGCCGGGTGGGTACTCCAGGAGGCTTCCTGGGGTTGCTTTCCTCCAACAAACACAGGGAGCCTGGTGCCTCACAGCAGTGGGGCACAGAGATGAGTGAGACTGAGTCCCAGGAAAGGGATACAAGCCACTGATGGGAAACATGGTGAGAGCCACAAAAGAAATGCAAGGGGAGAGGACGATCAGCTCTGTTGTTGGATATGGGGACTATGTGTGGCACTGGATCTTGAAGGATGAGTAGGAGTTCAGGAAGGGGAGACACTCCAGGCAAAGGGGAGAACAGGCGCAAAGGTTCAAAGAATGAAGATCGAGAATGCTGTAACTCATCAGGTGTGGAAAGATAGAATGAGAAGGGACATGTGTCCTGAGCAATGGACCACGGGTGTTGGGAAGGACACTGGGGATGGGGGGGGGGGGTGCACATGCACAGAATTGCCTCCCAATGGGCAGGTGGAAAAGCTCTGGGTATCCTCATCCTCCAAATGGGGATAAAATGCTCCCCACACATGGCTGATGAGATGATTTAAGGTGCCAAGAGAGAACTCATGTGAGGGCCCAGTATGTATAAAGCACAGAGAATCTTCAGGGTTCCAGAAAGCCTCTCCACCAAGGCCCAGCTCCAGCATCTGCGTTCTTCCCCTGGTTACAGCCCGCCAAAACCCATCCCCAACACAACCCCCTTCCTTCTGATCTGAGTTGCAACCAAAATGAGGCTTGTCCCACTGGGACTTCCACAAACTTCTACTTGCTCCATCTCATGCAGGAACACTCGTTGGCTATGTGGCCTTGCAGACCACAGAGCCCCTGGGATCTCAGATCCCCCATCCAAGTTCATAAGATCGGCCCTGCTCCACAAGAGCACTTCAGAATATGAATACCAGTGGCTGTGCCATCTATGATGCTTCATGTTGTATGTTGCGAAGGTGCCAGGGGACAGGGGAAAGTGTCAGAGTGGTGGTGTCTCTCACAGGGACAGGAAGAAAGGCCTTTGGCTTTGAAAGACCTGGCTTAGAGGTCCTAGTCCAGCTCTTCTCAGCCTGTGCACGTCACTGAAGTCTCTGAGCTCAACATGGGAGAGAGAATGCTTACTTGGAAGAATTATGGTGAGGATTTCACCAGGTGGTGTCGGTGCCACAGGGAAGTGACATTTGAGCAAAAATGTGACAAGGGTGAATGAGTGAGTTAAGCAGATATATCTGGGATTCAAACCCTCAGGCAGAGGGATAGCAAATGCCCTAAAGTAGGCTTGGGCCTTGTGTTGACAAGGGACAGCAAGGAAATCAGACAGGCTGGGGCAGAATGAATAAAGGAGGAAGTGTCTGGAGGGAAGGCCAGAGAGAATGGCCAGGTCACGCAGGCTTGAGGAGCTCATCCTCTCAGGGAGAAGGGAATCCCTCACAGGAGAATGGGGCCTTGTTCRGTTTCCCCAGGATCACCTGCTGCTGCGTTGAGGAGCCACAGACCGAGAGCAAGAACAGGGGCAGAGGGGCTGGGGTTGCCTAGCAAGTGTGACGTGCTGGGTTGGATCCTCAGCACCACATAAAAGTAAATAAACAAAATAAAGGTGTTGTGTCCATCTACAACCTAAAAATTTTAAAGAAGAAGAAGAAGGGAGAGAGACCACCTGCAAGGCTTCGCAGCCATCCAGGTCAGCAGTGATGGTAGCTGAGCCCAGCCCTGGGGTGATAAGCTCCGGGTGCGAGGAGTGCCAGACTGTGGGATGAGCTCAAAGGAGGAGCCAGGGCGATTTGCTGGGGGGCAGCCRTGAAGGGAAGCATAAGGGAAGGCCTACGTGTCCCAGGTTCCTGGCCCGAGCGACAGCTGAACAGGGAAGACAGAAGGAGGGACAGGCTTGGGGGCTCAAGTCAGGAGATCTGTTCTAGACAGGTTAGGTTAGAGACTTCTGCCAGATAACCAGCAGAGAAGGGATGCCAGGTAAGCAGTCCAGATAAGAGGTTAGAGTTCAGGTTATGACTCAGGCTGGAGATAAAATCGGGAGTTGTCAATACAGAGATGTTTCTTAGAGCCCTAAGACTGGATGAGATCACCCCGTACAAGAAGAGAGTCAGAGGGAAGGTCAAGGATGGAGTCAAGGGACGTGACTGTTCAGAGGTCAGGGAAGACCAGAGGAACCAACAACAGAGAAGAAGAAATCGAAGCCCCAAGAATGTATAGGTATAGAAGCCAAAGGAGGGAAGCATTTCTAGAAGAAAGGAACAGTCCAGTGTGTGGAACAATTTATTTATGGCCTTCAAAAGAGCAGATATGAAAGTGTCTCTAAAAAAAAAAAAAAAAAAAAAAGCAAGTATTATACCCGGTGGCTGATAGGCTGCCTCTGCATAAAAAAAGGTAAAGGTAAAGTACCCCACATGTGCAATGATACATTTGCATGAACAGAGACTGTCTCATTTCTGTAAAGATGCACAGGAATTCATCTGTCCCAGTTGCTGCTGGAAGAACAGCTGGGAARGCAGTTACCTGGGGTGAGAGGAGCCTCATTTTTCATGACATATTTGTTAGTCTATTAAAATATTTCTCATCAAGCATATATTACTGTTTCAGTGAAAAATAGTTTTAGCAAGGAAAAACACACAGCTGTTATAAAATAGGGAAATGCGTGATGTGCTAGGTCTAGCACGAGTCCAAGAAACGTCCATTTCCAGTTGAAAGGGCTGTTTGCAGAAAGAGAAACCTCTGAAGCACCTGTATGGGTTGTCTTATCCTTCTCCAAGCTGAAAATGGACGAGAAAAATATTTTTCCAGTATGGATCTCTTAAAAATAACATCTTCCAACCTGACATGATGGCACTTACCTATAATCACAGCAACTGGGGAGGCTAAAGCAGGAGAATCGCAAGTTTAAGGCCAGCCCAGGCTACTTAGAAAAACCCTATCTCAAAATAAAAAAGGGCCAGGGATATGTTTTGGTGGTAGCATCTGCAAGGCCCTGGGTTAGATCCCCAGCACTGGAAAAAAAAAAAAAGAGGGGT